GCCACAATTGACGCACTCACGGCCATCTGGTGACGAGAGACAAGAAAAATGGCATAAGTTTAAAGTTTTTTAGTTTTCTTTGGTGTTTTTTCCTTCAGTTTAGGTCAAGTAAACTGATACAATAAGTTACAAGTGATTTTTTTTCCGAAATACCATAAATGTTAACCATTTTTTATCTTTTAAATTGTCTTCCTATCCCGAACACACGTCATCCAGTAAGGTTTGAATTCACATCATCACTATGGTGCCGACACGATACCATACCAATAGACAGCCGTGGTTTCCAACCTCTTGCAGGATGGATGTGTCTTCCAAGGCCAACCAGACAAAGTTGTATTTGCCACCGAATTGGAGTACATGAGATGTATTTACCCTATTTCGTTTAGGTTGATGAATGATTGGAAGTTGAATTTTTTCACAATCCTATGTGTAGACCTAAAGTTTACATTGAATTTCGCATAGCCTTGATTTTCCAAAAGGTATTCGCATTCAGGCTCAAGTGGACTTCAGTTGTGACTTTGCTTGAACTAGTCTCACCAGCACTCCCAGCGTAACTTGAACCAATGCAGGGCAGTGTGTAATCTCGAGATGTTAACAACTTCGCGACATGCTTGTGCTCCGCTAATAGGCAGATACGCCTTAACAACACAAGGTAGTCCACACGAGCACACAATCTTGTAACAGCCGGATCTTAAAAAGGGGTCATATTTCTCTCTAAAAGTAAGCATAACCCAAGAAAGGGCCAGTTTCTTTGAAAGATTTTTTGGTTACCACAATTTCTCACTAGTTTAAGGTTAGGAGGACATGAGAAAGGGTCTCAGCCTGTCTAACGCTGATTAAAAGTCTCTGTCCAAAAATGTGTTGCTCGTTAGTTCCTCATCAACTAAGTCTAGAGGATAATTATCTTCCAGAAATGATTGCTTCAGTCTTATCAACTCTTTGGTCGGAGTAATTTCATCCGCAAGCCTCATACTCCTAATAATCATTTTATTCAACGAAAAAGGGTCCACTGCTTCAGTTTTCGGTATTACCAATTTACGAATCCAATTCAGCCAACATTTCATTCGAAATTAAAATTTCATTCATATTAAATTAGTAAAGAACTCTTCTAAAATCTGCTTTTATTCATATTTACAAAGCAAACTTGTATCCTTCGTTAGAATCGACGATGTAATAATATAAGTAGTGAGTAGGCCTTTAGACTCACCGAGTAAACTACTCATTATGAGT